GCCAACTTTAGACGATCTGATTAGTTAACTTTAAACACTTATAATTCAAAAACTATTATAGTCTTAACATTTTGGTATTGGAACTTTTGTCTTAAAATGATCTCAGAAATCTACCCTTAAGCGTTAGTCCGGTCATTACGGGACACCCTGTATATCACTTATATTAAATTATAGTTACATGTTATATTAATGTTATGTAATTGCAATTTTTTATGAGTGGGAAATTACAATTAACATAGACGTTACATGTAACGTACATTTTATATTGCGCGTTACATTCTATTTTATTGTGACAATGTGGCTGTTATATGTCTGTGTTTACTGGGCTACGGCGAATCTCGTTTTTCGCGACACAAGAAAGTTACCGCTCTCGACACAAAATTTAATTCACGACACGCGGAGACTCTAATAAATCCGACACACAGAAAACGGCAAAACTGACGCTCTCGCGAATTACACTGATACGATACACGACGCGGTGACTCGACCGGGTGAGGCAAAGGCGACAATCTTAATGACTCGAAATTAGCACAATCGAGCGGGCGGTGCAATCTTTAGTTCGCGAAACAAGTAATATTCGCAACTCTGATTTACACGGCACTCACGGCCGCTACGCTGAAGAAATCTTCACTCTGGCACGGCTCTCTCGTTTCGCGAAACTTGGTGACTTTACAAAAGTAGCGACGTTCGTCTCACCGGAGGCTCTCCAACTCTTAACTCTCGTGGACTCTCGATACTCAGTCTCGGCAGTGGATCCTGCGTCCCTTACAATAATCACGTCAGGTAGTGATGACGATCTAGGGATGGGCGATATTGACCGATTAATCGATACGTCCGATAATTTTTATCGATAAATCGATTATTAATGGCCGATGTTTTTGAAAGCCGATATATCGATATTCGATTTTTTTTGTGAATATCGTATCGAAAGTCTGCGCTATTTACAATAGCAAATTTAAAAATTAAAATTTAAAAATTTTAATGAAGAAATTAAAAATCAATCTTTAAGAAATTGTCCAATCATAGTCGATTAATTATTCTTCTCAGTTCTCACATTCAACTGTGAATTGTGATTGCTCAATTTCTGAA